CCCCCCCCCCCTTCCCCCACTCCCCCACGCAGTCCAAAGTGCCGTGCGCCAATGATCTAAAAGACGAAACTATTTCAATATATTCCTAGAAAGTGATTTTCTTTCTTTTGTTCCTTTCACCTAAAGAATTAGGAGATCATCCTAGCACAGCAGCCGAGACTTGCGAAGAAATCTTCAATAAAAGGAGGTGAACTGCATGACATAGGATAACTATTAACTGCTAAACAGACAATATTCGTATTCTCGGTTTTGGACTGGAACTAGCTTGCAATGGAAGTTCATGCGGGAGATATCATTAAGAAGGGCCGATAAATGCTATTTGGATTTGACAAGACTTCCCGCATTAGCCTCGGTTTCAAGCTAGTTCCAGTTCTATACCGAGAATGCGAGTATGATCTGTTAATACGCGAGATGGATATTATCCTTTTTGCGTGCATCGTTCGTACAAAATTTCAAAGATTCTTAAAATGGCCAGATAGCGACAAGATGGCGCCGCCGAGACGTCGTGTTAAGCGTTTGTATTTCTTTTAGGATACGTTGAAATAGTTTAAAACTATATTAAATATAAACAAACGAGTGTTAGTGACGTTTTCATTTTGAATGAAACGTTTCCCAGGTAAAAAAAAAAAAAAACACTCACAAATTAGTATAGGTAATCGTATGAATGCAAGTGGATTTAAGGATTTACACTACAAGTGATATTTGAGAAATTCTCTCAAAATTGCACGAGCCTTTAGGTGAGTGCAATTTGAACGAATTTCCAAACATCACGAGTAGTGTTAATCCTTGAGTCCTCTAGCTTTCATACGATTAGTCATGGAAATGACTAAGAAAATTGCGAGAGGTAATTTTCTTAGTCATAACAACCTTTGAAAGCCGGTGTATATTCTTCTGGCTCTTATTTTTTGTTCGTGTCACTGATTTCCAATTTTGTGGCCTTAATTGCGAAAACTGAACAACATTTCTTACTTTGGTGTGAACAGTGGCACAAAAAGTACAGAATATCTAGATGTAATATATCAAGCACGAGAGACAGTGTTTCATCGGGAGAAGAGATTGAAGATGAAACACCGTCTCGAGTGTTTGATATATCTTATCAATCAAAAAAAAAAAAAAGGAGTAAACGGAGAAGTAAAATCGTCAAAATCTACGCCAATTTAGACCGGGTATCCAAAACTCTTTCGCGGTTGTGATTTTCTTTGTTTTAACTTGATGAATTATTAATGCATTTGAGAAGTTTGGCCAAAATACATAGGCAATGTTAACAAACAATTAGAAACATAACAAAAGAAAGCAAATTTGTCAAAATGGCTTTCTCGTCTCGAGGATAAAAACTAAGAGAATCAAAATCAAAATGAAAACACAAAGGCCCTCCTTGCTTTGGGTAAAGTGACTTGGTGACTTGGCGAAGAGGGATCTTTTTTTGAAAAACACGTGATGTTGAAAGAAAGTGGTATATGTACATATGGAGGTCACAATGAAAGCATTGATTGAATCGTGCACCAGCGTTTAGCTAGCTGTACGCTCTCTCTCTGTGTTTTTTTTTTCTTGTTACATGTAGAAGTGCTCCGAGTGGTGCTTATTACATTAGGATCGGTGACAAAGCACACTTGGTGTATTGTAAAATGGAAAATACAACATGCGGCGAAGGAGGCTGGGCACTAGTTATGAAAATAAACGGCAGTAAGGTACGTACATGTTTTCGTGTCCACAGCGTACTGATTCCTTTAAAAGCTATACCACTGACGATAGTAGTCTGAAATGGCAACCTTAAACTACCGGTCTCTCGCTCGGGGACATGACTAAGGGCTACCATTTCAGGCTACCGTCGACCAAAAGATCGAGACACTTACTTTGGAACGAAAATGTCTAAACTACAATGGGGCCTTTGTCGCTGGTGATTACAAACGTTTTGTAAATTCAAATGTTTCAGCACTTCTATGTCGATAGATTTCATACTACTACTGTTTTAAAGTTGACGCTAAAATAATGTTATCAGGCTAATGCCCTATCAATGGTAAACAAGTTCTGAACATCTTCGTTGCATTACAAAATACCATGGAAACGTTGACCTGACGAGAGCCTCTTAATTTTAGCTTAAAGTGCTTATTGCCCAAGAACGAGTTCGGTAACCCTAAGTTTTAATTACAAAATATAATAACTGTGCAAAAATTCAACTTTTTACAAAGTTAAAAAATTGTGATAGCGGATTCAGAGTAATCCAAACGTTTTGAAAAAAATAAAGAGGCTCTGAAACCCCTTCCAATTATTTTTTTAATTCTAGCAAAGAGTCGTACATCGACATGTTGATCACAAATCGATAAAGCCTTTGGGTTCATCTTACTCGTTTTTGAATTACAAGTCATTAAAGCTAAAATTAAGGATGTTTTTGACCGGTTACTCTGTTGCTATAGTAACCTTTTGGGTCTCGTAAATGTTGAGAACCAGGATAGAGAAGCTCAAGAAAATCTCGGGTGCTTTCCAGTATTTGTGACGATGAAGGACGAAGATACTCATTTGTGATTAGCAAAACGTCTGAAGAAGTAGTATATCTTTTGTGTGAGCTTGTTACTCTCTCGTGTTAGCTAGTGTAATTGCGGTACCTTTTTTTGTAGACAACGTTTGCATACTCCAGCCCTCTCTGGAAAAACATAGATTCCTACAATGAAGATGGAGGAAGAGATTTCAGTGACACGGTACTGAATAATCTGTATTTGGGGAGAAAGGATGGCGCAGTGGCGAGAGCGCTCGCCGCGCCCCAAACCCCCCTCCCCCTCCAATTTAGCCCGGGTCCGATTATGGCCCGGCGCCATATGTAGGTTGAGTTTGTTGTTTGTTCACGCCATGCTCCGAGGGTTTTTCTCCAGGTTCTCCGGTTTTCCTCCCTCCACAAAAACCAATATCTCCAAATTCCAATTCCACCAGAATAGAGAACCCGCTTGAAAACCAGCTAAGGCTGATGTGGCTGCCTCTCTAAGTATTGTAATTTATTTCTTTTATTTAGACATGAGGCGCTATTCATACTCACGGTTTGTATAAATGTAAATGACAATTAATGGACGGAGTGATGGGAAGGAATTGAAAATTTTATAATGTGCATCTGAATGATTATAATGCTTTAATATTGAATGCTACAGAATTCAGTTTTTGTCGCAGGCTTCCAATTTTGAGTTGACATAATCCACCGTAGGAAAAAAGATGGCGGCTGTACATTTTAACACAATACTTTGCGAACCTAACACAGCCTGTAAGGCACAAAGAAAGCCAAATTTTTACAATTTTTGTCCCTGTACGAAGGACATTGTTTATGCTAGGTTTGAAGGTTTTGCAACTCTTCTGTACGTTTTTAAGAACGTTGTTAAGGTTTTCGTGCGCTAAGAACTATGGGTAAATGTACCAATGGCCATCTTTTTTCCTACGGAGGATTGATGGCGCATGATCTCAATCTAGAACCTTTCGGCACGTCATATTAACCCCGTGAGAGAACACCGAATTTGATTTGAGCACAAAATGGTACCAAAACACGCATTTTAGCTCTCCCATGAAATCTTTCAGTAGGGTCCACCGACATCTTTACTTTAAAACCACTGAGAATCAAAGAGGAAAAATCCCTAACAAAGTCCCCGCGCCAGTTCTCTCGTCTTTAAACGCACTTTTATGATTTGATATTGATGTATGCTCATCCTTCTCTACAGGAAACAAAAGTTGGTCCTTTATTTGGTTCGTTTACCTTCAAAAAAGGCTTATGTGTTGGAATGAAAATTGGGGGTCATACTAAATGGTTATTGCTAACCGAAATAAAAAACACCAACTTAATGGGTATATTTTCTCGAGAAGGTCCGGAGGGATTCACTCTCGGTCGCTCGAAGTGGAAGTCGTTGATTGAGGGATCATCTATGCATGTAAGTAGCAGCGCTGGATGAGCTTCCTTCAGTAGTTTGTTAGTTGCTTAAAATTAACTATTGATTCATGCCTTACCATACTTCATCGAGTTATGGATGTACGTGGGAATTTTAGAGCACGAGAAGCTTTAAGTTGTTTGAGGCGCAGCCGGGATTCACCTCAGCTGAATGTGTCCAAATTTCCCGGAAAGTGCATCATTTAGGCAATAGAGCACTTTTTCTGTGTTTACATAGCCCCATCTAAATACGAGGAGGGCTGGGAGAATTCTCGAAAGTTATGCAAACCAGAGACACAGTCGACAGTTTAATCCATAGAAAATCCATTGTTCACAAAATAACTTTATTGTCTTCAGAATTCATGTACCACCCCCAAGGAAGGGTTTAACGTTCATGCCTCCAATGGAGCAGATGGCGCTAAAGCTCGAATAGGACTTATAGGATACAAGGACTGCGAAGGCGAACCCATGTCACGGATTGGGTTTGGAACCGAAGGAAGCAGCGGAGGAATGGACACAAGCAACACGTGTGGAAACGAGGCTACAGCTAGCGCCGATAACGGCAATAAAACAATTAAAGCATTCTGTTATATCTTACTTAAATAGTTCACATCATAAAATACGGTATTTTGAAAGTTATGGGGTGTCTTGTACTTTGGAAGAAATAGACCGAGCTAAAAACACCGTGAAGTAAATCGCCTATATAGTCCTTAAAAAGCGCAAACAAAATTAATGCAGGAGCTCAACTACCCCATATTTCTGTCACGGCGTTTTCACAGAACGATCTTTTTTTAGTTTGAATTTACCGGGAATTCAGACCCCCGCAGGAACCTAAGCGACCAATCATAGGCAAAGACTAAATTTTTAACTGAAGTCATCATTTCACCGGAAGATTAAGCCGACATGTCCACCTGAGCGGGCCACCATTTTTTTCTTACCGATGCGCGGTCAAGTAGACCGGAACTGCATGACCTATTTTATCGCGGGCAAAGAAGCCTAAAATTAGAACGGTCTGTAAAAATGCCGTGACAGAGGTTTAGTATGGGAGTTGCACGCTCTCAGTGAAGGGTTCCTGCTTAATGTTATCTAAATAAATAATGGTAATAGGACTGAGTAGAGTCCAATTCGGTCTGTAGTCATACGCGTGACTAACAAAATCGGACGACAGCGAAGCGGCAGTCCGATTTGTTAATCATGAGTATGATTACAAACCGAATTGGACGACACGATCTCCTGTTACCAATCATAACCATTACAATTTCCCACAAAAATTTTCATTTGAAAATGCGCTTTTAATAGTGATTTTTAAATATCGTATTTAAAAGTATGGAGAGTAGCTTGCATAAAGGCTGTTAAGTTTCTCTCAAAACACTCACCGGAGACTAAACATCCACAATTTTACAAAGTCATTCTCTCGAAATGGTTACTATATTGGTTGTAAACAATGCTGTGATTGGTGAATTTAGTGGAGAGGATTTAAAATGATTGGCTTATGCAACTGTCCGATTACACGGTCCAATTACAACATTGCAAATTAATCAGAGCAAAATACAGCAGTTTATGCACCAATCACATTTGAGGAAATTGTAATTGTTATGATTAACAGCTTAATTAGTTTGGTTGTTTCTGGTTAAAATGGAAAGCACAATGGATCATCCTAAAACTATAAAACATAAAATAGCTAATAGATGAGCAAAGAGGAATTCAGTAATAGCTAGTAATAAAAAATATACGTCAATTTTAACGTTTCTAGGCTTGTGTATGGAACATGCGATGCCCCAGGGAGGGGAGGGGACAGAATCATAAAATGTAGTCAGTGGGAAAAATTAAAATGGAATACCTAATCATTACGAAAAAGGACTTTTACATATAACTCCCGTTAGTGCATACGGAGAAACCCAACCAACCGAATGGCAAGCTGTAGGTGAGACTAGCCAGTTCATGCCTTTATAGCACTGAGTTTTATTTGTAAAGGTAAATCAAGTCTTTTATGTGGTATTAGGTCGTTTTTCACAACTAGACAGGAAACTGGCAGCAGATGCAGTTTGTGTATCTGATAGGAAAGCCAGCAGATCACTGAAATAATAACTATTGTGGTAATCGTGGAAAGTAATTACAATTGCTTGTACTAGTTACGATTAGTTTTGGAGGTATCTGCTTACATTTTTCATTTATTCTCTGCTTTTCATTTATTTTCTGTCAATTTGTACATGGAGACATGTAATTACGTAGTTATTATAACGGGTAAAGTTTAGTTTACCGGTCTCGCAACAAAGCTTGGACAAAAGCTTCCAAATATAATGTGAAAAATTATCCCTAAAAATTGATTTTAATCAAATGCCCAACTCCCTCTATGAGACGCGCCTGCAGGGAATCATGATAGTTGTATTCATCATTTTAGACTGGATGTTTGTTTTCATGGATACAACTACCATGATTCCCTGCAGGCCTGTCTCATAGGGGGAATTGGCCATTCCGAAGACAAGACAAATTTCATGAAAGAATTTCCTTGGGGGCTGGGGCGGTGGACCGGGGGGGGGGAGGAGAGGGGCAACTGTGCCTCTTTATGGTGGTATAGCTTTCTGTCAGCTGACTAAATTAACGATATAATCAATTAAACAAATAAGTAGATAGTAGAAAGACAGATTTTCATAGCTTCTTTCAGTTGATAATTGTACATTTGATTAGAAGCTCGGTAATGACCTATCACAGGACTTGTACGTCAGGAGATTTTTTGAGGAAACGAGTAATCCTAGGTTCCTTCGCAGTATTACACAACACAGTTGTAGCTACTTGTTAGTGGAATATATGACGATGAAATTTGACAGAAGAGTATTAAACCTTCTTCTTTTGAACTTTTGAAAAAATATGTATAATATTACGTGACAAGCCATATATAAAGGTGTGTGATCCTTGCTTTATGGAGCGCATATTAATTCCGGGAAACAAACCGTTTTTTTCGATCCCTCGTTAGACATTAGGAGAATGTCCTTGTTCTCTGGCACAATGAGAATACGCCATGATTCCAAGTAAAATCGGCATTGAAAACGGCAAACTCATTCAGTTCTTGCTGTAAGGCATTATCTTAACCAGCGCAGCAGTTAGAAATAGCGATCCAAAACAACAAACCCAATGAATTTAGAAATGAATGGGATATATCAATATTTTCCAGCGCTAATGATTATTAATAATTTTTTTTTTCGTTTTCTCTTTTGCTGTGTCATCAGTTAAAATACGCGATTAGTCAAAACTGTGTGATGTGTACCCAGTGTAACGTTTTGTATCCTTGTCAACTGCAGATCGCTTTGTGAAAACATCCGGGCGCTGTTCCCTTAACTTTTCTAGAACAAAACCCGAGGGCTTAATCGTATCCTTGGGTGAGATTGGGGTATCCCCTTACTGAAGTTCTCTTCCGCCCAGGTAAAATTTTGGCTACATTTTATAACTCGACCTGCTTGAAAAAAAGTTTCAATTAATGGCTTTTTTTTTTTTTTTTTTTTTTGCATCTTTTTGTTTTCTAGTAGTTTCAGTATAACGTATCAATAGTTTTTCCTCATGCATTTTATGTTGCTTTTCCTCTCCCCAATGAAACCACAAACCCTGAAATACCGTGAATCAGTTGAGAAGCGCTTTATCTTTCCGTGATGGAATAACGCCTTCTATCTTTGCTAGTTAGCCTGGGTGACGATAGTCTGTCCATAGACGTCTATTTTAATTTTTGGCTACGATTTATCTTTCTTTGAGCTTGCGCGGCCGCGAACCGGGCGCAAAACTCTAATTTTGCCTTTCTCCAGAGCCATGCCCTTGTTTTCGGGCTTTTTCAAATCCCCCTGCGGTTAACACTTTTCAGTACTAATTGTGATCTCAGCGAACTCGAGACAAAATAGAGGGTCTGCGAATAGACTAGCTTGGCTATAATTTAGCGTTTTTTTTTTCTCGAGATTTTTCACTGGAATAAAACAACCCACTAGGTTCGCTAGCTGCAGAAAAGCGCACACAATTGTTTTGTCTAAAACGGTTTCTGGCCAACGCCACACGCTGTCCTCATTGGCTCTGTATGGCGGGCTCACGAGGTCGGTTATTGATTCGTTCACCTGTTGGCTGGTGGCGTAATTTGGTTTCACTCCTGTCATGACCAAAAATAACAATATACTCCATGCAAAAGATAGCTCGGAAGAAACAGAAAAGTTCTGGGTGGACTAGCAAGATATCCGAAAATTGCTTAAGGAGGTTTACGGAAGAAAATATTTCTGTTGCTTTTACACAAAGCCCACATTACTTGGAGAGCTCGACCGGTTGTGGATTGTGTTGCTTTGAGTTCATTATACGCTCGACTGATCAAAAACTTCAGGCAGTGGGCGACCACTCAATTATAAGGCGTTTCCAAAGCTGGAGATAGCACTTTCGTCGTGAAGATCTGCGGACAACGGAACGAACTTTGAGCAGGAAGTAAGAAAGACACACCAATTTTCACATCACGATATCCTTGTTTGAAAACTGTATGGAGTTAATGGAAAATGGACAATCAAACATACAAGCAATGGGTTGTCCAAACAACAATCACCTGTTGACTAACTAAATTGTCAATCCACAAGAAAATAACAGTGTTATTCACGGGCAGACGAGTTCATTTCTGCGCAGGAACATCTTGGTTGAGAGGAAACTTTCTTGTACACCCAAAGAATTTTTTCATTGCCAAGCAAATTTGAGAAAATTGTTGCCAAACTGGATCAACGGACACACAAGGTGTGAAATATTAGGAACCACGAAAGAAATTACCATTGTCGACTATTTAGTGCGTTTTGTTGGCTGCAAAGAGCCTGGACTATTGGTTACTAGGTGGAAGAAAGAAAATCAAGGCTAAAGTGATAGAGTTTTCTTTGGCATCGCATTACCCAAGAAGACTTGACAGAGCTGAATGGTTTTGAGTATTCATCTGCTTATCGTTCAACCTATCCCACAATTCTTTATGGGTTTCTATGGGAGCAGCTCTACAGACTCTGGGCTTAGCGGAAGTAGCGAGTGAGGTCGCTTGTTGCGCAGGCTCAGCAGCGTGCAGTTTATTTTGCAAAAAGAAAGTCGGTGGCATCAGATCGAGGCTATACTTTGCCGTGTTTTTAATCCTGGGTACGATTCTTTGTCTTGTAATGCTTTCTCCCAACATGCGGATGTATCTGGATAAAATTCCGTTTCTTTGCACAAGACTTGCTTCTAAACGAGTGTGTGACAACCTTGTGGGGTATGGAGCGGTGTACAAAGTTTCAGTCGCCATGTCTGCGTTCTTTTTGCTGTTTTCTCTTCTCACCTACAACGTACACTCGAAGAAGCAATTTCGCGCCAGAATTCACAACGGCTTCTGGTACATCAAACTGTCACTGTTTGTTTTGATAATAGGAGTCGTATTTTACCTGCCGAATACGGACCCCTTCAGTAAGATATGGATGTATATCGGACTCACTGGCGGGTTTATGTTTATTCTCATTCAAATAATTCTCGTGATTGACTTTGGTCACTCGTGGAGCGTGTCGTGGGCAGAGAAGATGGACACACTTGACACGAAATGTTGGTATTTCTCGCTGGCGTTTTCAACAGCTTTAGTCTATTCCCTGTCTGTGACGGCTGCTGTTATGTTTTACCTCTTTTTTACTAACCCAGATGACATATCGCAGTGTAAAGCAAACACATTTTATATCAGTTTCAACGTGGGACATTGCGCTTTGGCCACGATAATTTCCGTGCTACCTCGTATTCAAGAAGAAACAACAGGAGCCGGTCTCCTACAATCTTCGGTCATTACGATATACACCATGTATCTTACATGGAACACTCTTTCATCTCAGCCAGACTCTAAGTGTAATCCGCTGGGCGCGGTCATACTGGAATACGATAAGGTTTCTGGTGTGAACGGGCAAGCTATATTCGGAACGCTTTTAATGTTCGCCTTGCTAGCGTTTGCGTGCACTGTCCGCGCTAGTACGTCACAATTGGGGAAACTGGGTCTGTCTTTGTCTGACAGCCCTGAATTCTTGCGAAAAAGCGCCGAGAAAAACGCGAAACGTCGAAAACAGAATAAAGATTCCAACGAAGAAGGCAACGGCGACGAAGAACAAGAAAGCGAAGACGTTGCGTATAGTTATTCTTTCTTCCACTTTGTTCTTTTTCTAGCGTCATTACATGTAATGATGGTTATGACGAATTGGCATAGTCCAGATGAAAACGTCGACTTCAAGAAAATGGTCAAAAACTGGGCAGCGGTGTGGGTGCAAATGGCATCAAGCTATATTTGTTGCCTGGTGTATATATGGACTCTTGTGGCGCCGTTAATACGCAGCACGTGGGGTCACTATATCGGCCTAGATTTGGAAACTGTTAGGTTGCCTAGTGCGAGAAGGGCGAGCGCAGCGCGTTTAAGAGACGATTTCAAGAAGGCTAAGGAGAAATTGAAAACATCTGAAGCTACACCTGATAGGACTAAACCTAAGCAGCAGATCGAGCAAAACAGTAAAGCGAGAAAAAGAAACTTGCAAGGAAATGAAAATCTTCGAACAGACCAGAATTCTGTTGTGAGCGAAGCAAACAAACTGGACTCTAGCGCTAGGGAATTAGATCAAAAGAGGACAGAAGCTCAAAATCCTATTGAAGTGAGGCATACAAAAATAGAAACTAAAAGCCACTATGAACGCACGAGTGCAAGAGCGGTTGAAAAACGAACTGATAAACACAAAGTTAAACCTACTTCGTCAGATGATAGTTGCTTTCTTTCTCGCGATACTTCGGTAAATAAGCGGACGGATTCATGTTCTTCCGACAGAACTCCGGAGGAACAAATAAAACTTCCAAATCCGTCACTACCAGTTCGAATACAAATCGATCATCCATTCGAGAAAATAACGCAAGAAAGCATTTTCAAGAACAGCGTTAAACAACCTGAAGTTTCCAAGGAAATTCTCAGACTTCAAGAGAGAATTCTCAGATTTCAGGCGAAAATTGTGAAAATCCAGCATAAAATTTTATCCATACAGGAAACAGGAGAAGTTACTATTCCAAGGATGGAAAACGTTTCGAAAAGAGGGTAGCTTTGAAGTTATAGCTCTTTGTTATTAATAAAATCAGCTTAGAAAATAGTTTAATTGAAGCGTCTCAGGGGTTAAAGTGAAAAGTAAAGAATGTGTATTTAGAATTTACAGCCTGTGGGATTGCGTTTACAAGAATGGCAGACCTATAGGTTTAGCAATTGGGTTTTCACCTGGTCTGGCAGAGGAGTTGAACCGTTGGGACTCGGTATCCAGAACTCCGGATTGAGAAGACCAACCCCCTACTCACTCGCGCCAACTCTGACTGTATATAGTTTTGAAGTTTGTCTCGCAGGCATTATGGAGAAAGAGGAACTTTTGTCGGAAATATGTGCTCAGTTACTCTCATAAATTCTCGTGACGCTTCGGTATTAAAAAGACTGTACGTAGACTGTAAATATTCAAAGACTACCTTTTAATTGCTTTGTTTTTATTTGTGCTATGTAATCACGTCATACAATGATGCTGGCATGAAGTTCCTGCAAAGGTTATTGTAACGGTTTTTGGCCTTCATTGCCTTAATATTCACTTGGTGACTTCTATTTTGTATTATGAGCAAAAAACTTTTTATAAGAATTTGTATCAAACTTATATTGAAACATATATATGGAACACGAAAGCTGAATTTCAAGTGAAAACAATGAAATTAAAAAAAAACATTTAATCCAATAACTGCTTGGTAGCTTCTGTTGTTTTTATACCATATAGTGACCAACTAATTGTGTTTTTATACTTAATAGCCCAGTTTCGAGTTCGCCATCATGATGACCGCTGATTAAAAGCCCTGAGAACGCATTTGCACAGGGTTAGCCTCGACCTAAAGTAAAATGTTCACAAATTCCAGTGAGAAGATGACCTGTTTACAGCTCTGTGTATTGTTTAATTTTCAAATTTGTGGCACCTTCCCACCGTTATTTGTGAATATTTTTTTTAGGTCGAGGCTAACCATGTGCAAATGCGTTCTCAGTGCTTTTATTAAGCGGTCATGTCTAACTCGAAACTGGACTATCGTACCTTTTGCTACGCTTGGCGGGATATCAAGTGAGTTTGGCTAAGCCATTGATCGTATTTTGGCGAGACCTCATCTCGTCCAAATACCCATGGCGAGACCAAACTCCATCGTTTTATGCAGCAATCACAAGAAAACTTCAAACGCATTCATTCAAATCAGCTTGGATTTAGCAATAACTGTGTCTGCAGTGGTAGCACAGGAATACATTTTCTAAGAAGTCAAGTCATTTAATTCCTGCTTTCAGTCCTGAGATTTCCTAGTTGTCCTAAGATCAAACAAATCAGTTTTCCTTACCGATTCCCATATACATTTCGTTCAATGTTAGTTTTGAGAATTTATTCTTTAATCAAAAAAATACCTTCCGGTTGACATTTTTCTGTAATTTTCCCTTTCTGACTGTATTGATAAGTAAATCATAGCTTACTTATTCGATTGAAATTAAAAAGAGAAGATTCATTAGCAAGCGTTCGAGTGTCTTCCACGTCACTCCCGAGAAAATATCTTTGTCACTGAATTTGTAAAGCAGATCTTAAAACATGTGTTGGGATAAGAAAAGTAAAGTAAAAATGTAAAAAAAGAAAAATAGTAAGAAAAGAAACATAAAAATAGAACAAAGATATACTGTTTATGAATAAGTAAGGTCAAGTTCTAACACAAGCAATCTAATCCAGCTAACGATTCAAATGTTATGCCACTTTCACATATATATCGTGTCACTAGATTGCCGTTGTAAAAAGGAAATTATAAACTATTTTAAAGGACCTTTTATCTGCGTCTTGTAATTAAACTGTGGGGTAGCCGTTTTATTATTTAGCCATGTCAGAGAGAGGTGTGCTAAACTCCTTTCTATTACAGAAAAGTTAGTAAACCTTAAAAACAAATTTCACCATTCTGTTCTCAGATCGGTCGTTTTATTCAACTTCTTACACTGCAGTTTTATAAACTCCAGTAGTGTTTGCTACCACTGATTCGTGTTAGAAGAGGGCTTGTTAATTATCATTTCAGTCACAAACACATTTACCAGATGACGTTATACCGATATAATAGTGCCACCAGAAAAGAAGGCAAAATAACATTTGTTTTCTTTCGAAGCAGTACAAGCTTGCTAGGATGAAAGACGATTCTGAAGATCGACCAAATCAGTGCGACCAGAGAGGTTGCTCATTCTGCTGCGTTTGCGGCAGACTTGGGAGAGCGACAGTAACACGTGTGAACTACACTCTGCTCCTACTGCTTGTAACTGTCTTGTGTTTTGTTCTGTCAGTTCCGCGAATGCGAGACAAGCTGAACGCTATTCCACATTTCTGCAACGAAATGGTAGATTCGAAAAGCTGCGACAATCTCGTGGGTTACACAGCCGTATATCGTGTGTGTTTTGGTACAGCCATATTTTATCTCGTCCTCTCTGGGGTTGCATTCGGTGTGAAAAGTGCGGAGCAAGTTCGAGGGCGTATTCACAATGGATTCTGGTACATTAAGTGTTTGCTCTTGATTGGTTAGTAAACCAGTACAGTTTTATTATTCAACAATCAAGACCTTCCTTTTTTACTGAATTTATTAAGAGCAACTCTTTATCATATTTTTAATTCTTGTTTTAGATTCTAGTTTTTGTAGGTATTTTGCTAGTCTTTTTAGTTTTTAAGTTTCTTAGAGTAAAATTGTAGTTTTTAGGGATAGGTTTGTAAAGCACCTCGGGCAAATGATGAATGTGTGCGCCATATAAATGAACTATTTGCTTAAACCTTTGCTTATACTATTCGTCATTTTTTAAGTTTTTAAGCTTTCTTCTATCCAAAAGATATGTCTTCGTGTATGATCAGCTGCGCTTGCCTGAAACATTTCACCCGGGATTTTACAAAATGACAGTTTCTGATTACGTGCACACTGATTGGACGCTACGAGAGCTACGAGAGGTGGAGGGGGAGGGTGGAAAATCTCATTTCTTAGCACAAATTTTACACAAATCTCATTTCCCACTCTTTTATGACTTTCCATTCCCTTTTTAGCTTCTGAGTTGCAGTCCTAGTCACCCAAATGCAAATCTCAGTTCCCATTTTTCCCTTCAAGCCCCTCTGAGATCATTTAATTGTTTAAAGATGACTTCGAAGACGAATCCAATTTTCAAGTGCAGTCCGAGTGTTTCTTTTGCTCAATTAAAAACAGAAGCTGGCTTATTGACGAGAACTCAAACTGTTGCCGTTCTTTCCTCCACTATTTTTTGAAGATGGTCAGAATAATAA